TCTATTGGTTCTTTTGGCAATCCATGGCACTTTAAGTATTCTCCTCCAACACCACAACTCAAAGGCATCAATTCTTCTACGGTCTTCCTTATTCACTGTCCAGCTTTCGCATCCATATGAGGTTTTTGAAAATACCATGGCTTGGGTCCAGGCATAGGCAGCCTCATTTTTCTCCAGGAGGGCAGCTTATGGTGAGCAGTCCAACACTTAACCCACTGTACTGACAATCTAAAGTCAATTACATTTAACACTGCTAAATTGTATCTCATAATACATGACTGTCACAATTCTGAATTTAGCCTTTCTGTAACATGAAGGACATTTAAAAATAAACTGGAAACTTGTTCTGGGTTGAGATACAAAGCCCCCCAACATCCTTTTCTTCCCTCTCAGCAACAGTCTATTTAGGAGTGATTTCTTCAGTGTATCTTTTTAAAGCACTGTTGATTTGTTTTGCTCCTTGAAAGATGAGTGCAAGGTATCTCATAGGTGAAGGGAATAGTCATTATGAAGCTAAATCGAGGAGTATGTCAGTTCAATTCAGTATGACATGTACCATCAGAACGTGGCAAGTATGTGAAGGAAAAGTTCAGTATGTTTTCAGAGTACTTAAACAATCCGCGTTCATGTTGAATGAGCATCAAGCGTATTCGTACCCCAAAGTCAGTTGGAGTCCTTTGAGTTAAACTTTCTTCTGAGATAGAAGAAGATAATGATCAACAGTAATGTTGTTGTTGTTATGTGCCGTGGAGTCGGTTCCGACTCATAGCCGACTCCAATAATGTAAATAAATGTAAGATGCTTTTTATTAAATCTTCTTTATAAAGCAATGGTGAGATTGACGTTAGAAATAAGTGACTTCTTGGATGTATTTGGTGGGGGATGCTGACTGATGTTTGGGCGTCTTTAATGTGCTATGTGTACACTCTGCTTTGGGCAACCCTAGATGCGATCTTCCCATTTTACAGATTAAGGGAGCTGAGAAGACAGAAACACTAAGGTTTTTGCTCATGATCCTCACTATTAAATGCTGCTATTTGTACAGTAGTAGGGCAGTAGCAAGGAGCTCTGGTAGTGTAGTGGTTACGAATAGGGCTGCTCTCCTCAGGGTTAGCAGTTCGAAACTACCAGCTGTTCCACTGGAGAAAGATGAGACTTTCTGCTCCCGTAAAGATTTACAGCCTCAGAAACCCTGTACAGGGTCGCTATGAATCAGAACCGACTCCACGGCATATAGCAACAATAACAGGACAGTAGTAGGGTAGCAGTTCAAACCCACCAGCTGCTGCGCAGAAGAAAGATGAGATTGTTCCTATAAAGATTTACAGCCTTGGACTCTTGGGAGCAGTTCTGGTCTGTTGTGTAGGGTGGCTGTGAGTCGGAACTGACTTGATGGCACTGATGGACTCTGTTGAAAAGTCCCATGTCAAAAGTCACATCCCATGGTGGGGTCACATATTCAGCCGTTATCCTAAAGGTTGGTATTTTGAACCCACCAGCTGCTCCTTGGAGTAAGATGTGGCAGTCCTCTTCCATAAAGATTCCTAAAATCTGTGATGTGGAAATTCAGGCTTCTCCTAGGTCTTCAAACACTTCATGTTGTTACCGGGGTGGACTACAAAAGACTAGAAAGTCATGAAGTGAAATGGCAAAGGTTTATTTAAGAAGGGAAAGGAAACCTGCAGGGGAGCCATTGCTTCAGATAGCAGTATCTCCCTGGGTTCACAGCCTTTGGGGGTTTTAGAGGGCTAAAGACAGGGGAACACTCAGGGGTGGTCTCGGCAGGTTTCTGGAGTTGCTAACACCATCTTGCGGTTTCGGATGTTGCTTCTTTGCTCCTCATTCCTCTGGTTGGGTGCTCATTTCTCACACATGTGTACCACAACTAAGACCCTGCTTCGAGACCCTAGTTGGGCTCTGAAGCACCATATTGAGGTTAACAGCCTGACCAAATAAATTATTACTGAGCTAGGGGCAGGGCTTGTGGTTTATGGGCGTCTGCATCTGTCAGGCTATGTATGCGAGCTGGAAGGGACACAGCAATTTCTGCTAATTCACTACAAAATAAGTGTTTTGCTAAGTTTTATTTCCTGCCCCACCTGTGCTTTGCAAGAGTCTTTATTCTTTCTCCTTCCTGGTTGGACCTTTCTCCAACAATGTGCTTTGCTTTTTGAGGTTTTCTGAACTTCTTTAGACCTGTGGCCCTTGGCCCTCCCACGTTTAGAGGATTTGGCTAAGTTAAAGGGTATATATATATAGTTGAAACCTTGTTGTTGTGCCAACCGAGTCAGTTTGACTCCTAGCGATCCTGTTTCCGAGGAGTGTCTGGTGGGTCTGAATCACTAATCTTTCAGTCCAGTGTTTGTTCTACAGCACCACCCCAGGACCCTTGGAATCACAGAATTTCAGAACAGGAAATGTCAAAGAGTTAGTTCAGCTTCACCTTTTGTTATGCCCAGGAGCCAGCCGTGTACCTATGCAAATACATAAGGGTTGTTTATTCAAGCTTGAGCCAGGTCTCTATCCTTATCCGACACTTTGGAATAGGGAAAGAGCCCCGAATTCATTGTCTGCAGGGTTTTTATAGAATTTTCAAACAGCTCAGGTTTCTCAGCTTTACAATCTTTGGATTGGTTAACAATTGGCAAACTATAAGATGTTACAGTTTAATTGGTCAGGACTGGTGGTCTTTGTTCTTAGGCTAGGGTTAAGGAAAACATCTGGCCTCTGGCCTTGAGCTGCCTGGCTATTTATACATATATCATTTTGTTGGAGCTAGAGGACGTGTTCAGGCTAATGTACAGAATGGAGATTGACCTTGTTTCTGGAGGGAACTAAAAACTGAGGCCTTGTCTATTTAAAATGCTTTCCTGAGCCTGACTAGAGTTTAGTCAAGCAGTCTCTAGGTAGGTAAAATCAGTTTGGTCCTTACACTTTGACTGGTGAAGGGATGAAGTCTAGATGTTTCTAGTGACTAGTTGCAGTGGTGTGGGGTCAAGTGGCAGGGATTGGTGTCTCCCCAAGCTGTAGTTGCCTTGTAGCATTTATTTGATGGCCATGACTTTTCCTGAACGTCCTACCCTTGTCACTTGTTTGGACTGTCCCATGATCTGGACTGTAGGACTGTAGGATGTAGGACTGTGAGGCTTCAAGAAAGGTTACATTTGCAACATCCCCAAGTTTAGGGTGTGTCAAGCTGTTTCCTAAAACGATCTCATTGATGTGAAGCTTAACTGTGAAATTGTTGGCTTTTTTTTTTTTTTTTAATGGTTCTTGATTTAAAAGTCATCACATGGAGAAGTGAAGTATGTGCTGCTTATTCAGTAATGAGCAAAGTGGCGGAGATTTGAGGAGGTTGCAGAAGTAAAGCTGTAAGACCTAGCTTTAAGCCTGGCTTAGCCACTACCCGATCCAGAATCCCTTAGGTGACCACCACCCTGAACACTCCCATCTCCTTCTGTGCAAGGTGAAGAGGTGGCATCCACCCCTCTGGGGTTCCCTTAAACTCTAGGAATTGGAGAAGTAAAAAAAAATAGATAAATAAAAAATGCCTAATTAAAAAAGTTAGGTCTATTAGCCTTTAGATCCTAGAACTCAAAATTGATGCTGATTTCAAGTGCTTTAAGTCATCTGCAAGATTGGTCAGATAATCTGTGGGGGCAGCAGGAAACAAAAAAGTGTGGCCCGTGTTCAAAAGTTAGTACAAATTGCAAGGCAGCGGCAGCAGAGCGCTAAGGCAGTCAGTGGACTCTCAGAAGAGCTGATCCTGTAGGACTTCATAGGTCAGCACTCAGGTGGCCAGACACGCTCATTTAAGACATGCCTGTTCCTTGCCAGCAGCTGTGCTGAGCAAGTGGAAATTCAATGGCACATCACTCCACTGAGTGTTAGAAAATCACCAAAGAAATCCTTGTGACGGATCAGTTGATTCATGCAGATTGTAACAAGTACCAGGAAGGAAAAGTACAAGATGGAGGGGGAAGGGGTGAGGTATCACAGGCTCCTGTTTCTAGTCACCTTCTCATTGCCCTATTGTTTTCACTTGTATATGTTCCTGTTGATACAGTGTGCAATCTCTTCCCCTACTCTTTTATAGCCCTATATAGAAGAAATCTGTGAAAGTCTTCGAGGCAACATTTTTCAAAAATTTATGGAAAGGTATGAAACTTTATATATAAAATCATTTACTGGTACTTCAGTTCATTCAATAAGTACCATCCTTAAAATGTGTGATAATTTATTCATTCAGCAAGGATTTCATGACCATGCACTATGTGCCAGGCTTTAAAATGATCTGAAATGTAAACAATGTAAATTAGAAACTCCATGTTAAAGTAAGCTATTGGGAAACCTTTTCTAATGAAAATGTGACCGTAATTTACCTAATCCATTGTAAAAAAAGAAGTTGAAATCATACCTTTGAAAGTGGAACAAGTCTACACTTGACTCTTTATGTAGTAATAGAATTTAAGGGCTAGGCAAATGCCTTTTTCTTGTCATATATTAGGGGGCTTCGAAGAATTGAAACAGATAATGGAATTTTTCAAAAATAAAACTGAAAGATAATGGAATTTTTCTGTGAGATTGTCGAACCTCTTCGTGTATCATTAATATATCTATTCAGTATGTCCCACTGGGTTACACCAAGTATAGAGCTCTTTGTCACATGAAATTCTGAAATTTCTTAAGGTTGCTTGTGTTCAGCTAATAAAGTTCTTTGTACTTCTGATGTGGCGCTGTAGGGATCAGCACTGGACTGCAAAACGCAAGGTCGACAGTTCAAACCCACCAGTTGTGCTCCTCGGAAACCCTATACAGGGTCTCTATGAGTGGGACCCGACTTGACGGCACTTAACAACAACAACAATAAATTTATTCAGGCGCCTCACAGTGTTTTGAGAGCTGCTGTGGCTGTAATACATCATTGGAAATGAACTTTCTAAAATGGAATCTGCATTTACACTGACTGCCCCTTTCTCCATAAACTCGGCTGATTTCTAGACAAATGGTACAATGATTGTCTGGTGGCTGGAGCAGTGTGCAGCTGCTGAGTAATTGCCATGTAGGAACAGATGCCTCTTTACCACAGCTTGCTTCTCCCCATCTTCACAGAACCAAAGTGATTAAAAGAAGAAAAGAAAATGGCACTGTGATCTTAGAGTTCAAGAGATAATTTTATCCTGGTGTAGAGTCAGTACTTTGGGAAACTATTATTCGTAAATGATTACACTTTTCTGAGTAGTAACAGAAGCACTGTCAAAAAGCAGCGGTCGTAAAACCAAGGGGCTGAGGTGCTGGTTTAGGGATGAGTTGCGACAGAATCCTGGGTGGCTCCCATGACTGTTGTTCCTAAAATTGTACCTTTGCCACATCTTGCATCCCCTTAGTTTTTTACATGATTTGAGGGGAGAGGTCCCTGGGCTGCACAAACGGTGAATGTGCTGAGTGGCTAGCTGAAAAGTTTAAGTGCACCCAGAGCCTTGAAATCCTTATGGAGCACAGTTCTACTCTGAAACATGGGGTTGCCATGAGTTGAAATCGACTCAAAGGCAGCTAACAACAACAACAACAAGCTGCATGTAGCTACTGAACATGTGAACTGTGGCTAGCCTGAATCAAGAGGTTTGCTTTAAACACAAACTACACATCAAATTTCAAAGATTTAATAGCAAACCAAGAATGTAGATGGCTCTTGCTATCTTTCTGTGGGATAGTGCTGACTCAGATAAAATGTGACCATCACATGAGACAATTAAATGAGTAACAAGAAATCTTTCCTGTGGATCATCAAATAAAGTCACAAATGTCGATAAACTCACTGTACTTGTGAATCTAGACAGGTTCTGTAGTTCTAGCCTGTTGTTTAACGTTGCCCTAGAAGTCCAGTGCATTCGATGGCTAATTGTACAATAACCTTTTGCATTATTTTTTAGTGACAAGTTCACTCGGTTTTGTCAGTGGAAAAATGTAGAATTAAATATTCATGTAAGTATCATTGTCGTCTTTTGTTTGTTAATAAAAACTTACTCTGGGTGAAACTTGTGAGAAAATACTTTATTCTGGCTAGTGATCCCAAGGGGTAGTACACCCCTGAAACATTCTTACAGTTGAATGCATTTAAAACCTATCCATCCATACCCAGTTATAAGCCACTTAGCTTTGAATTCTCTTTTGTTATATTCCTCAGGAGAAGGATGGGGCTGTGTACTCCCATAAAGACTGGCAGCCTCTGAAACCCTATGGAGCAGTTCTACTCTGTCCTATAGGGTAGCTATGGGTCAGAATCAACTCGATGGCAGTGGGAGGGTATGTCATAGTCATATAGGGCTGTGTTTATGGATTTTGGAAAGGACATTTAGCAAAAACAGTAGTAAAAATATACAGGTCTGCTGTTTAATAGAGCTCCAACATGTTCTTGGAGTCCTGGTGTGGTACTGTGGGTTAATGTGCTAGACTGCAAAGCCGTTTGAACTGCAAAGTCGGCGGTTCAAGCTCACCAGTCACTCCTTGGAAACCCTATGCAGGGTCGCTATGGGTCGGAACCGACTCGACGGCACTTAACAACAACAGACATGTTCTTACCTTCTGCTGTTCCAGTGAACTTCTTGTTCATTTTCTTATTATTAGATGGAAGTCACAATGACAATAATAATAAAAGATTATAATAAAGCCTCTCTTACTTGACCAAGGTGTCATCTTCTTGTATATTATTTTGAGAATAGAAAAAGCAATCCTCAGCCACAGGCCATCACTTCATGTGTATTTATTTAGCTTTTCATCTTCTATTAGCTCACACTGTCCATTATTCTAGGCAGAATCTTGATGTTATTTGTAGAAGGTACATTTCTCTGTATAGTGTGTATGACCTTACCTTTTACATTCTCCCTTCACCCAGGCTTACAGTGGGACAGTAGAAATAATCAAATACCTCTCTCTCTCTCTCTGTACCTACTTACCTATCTATCTAATCTACCTACCTACCTATCTACCTATCATCTTGTATCTCTTTATCTGTCATTTTGTATGTATGTATCTATCCATCCATCCATTATCATCTATCATCTTGTATCTGTCTATCTGGAGTTCTGGTGTGGCACTGTGTAATAAACACTGAACTGCTAACCACAATGATGGTGATTCAAACCTACCAGCTGCTCCTTAGAAACCCTATTCAGGGTCACTATGAGATGAAACCAAGTTGGTGGCACTTAACAACAACAACAACAACAACAACACACACACACACATATATATATATAAAAGTGTAAAAGGTTAATATATATATATTTTTTTTTTCTTTCTTTCTTTTTTTAACCTTTTACAGTTGGAAACCTTCTTACCTCTTTTTCCCATAATAATTTCCTGGCAAGATTTAGAATGAACAAGAGGCAGTAATATATTCAAAAAGGTCTGTTCAGGTCTGTCTCATGCAGACTGTGGACATCAAGAATGATCCAGTGCCTGCTACCTGACTGTGGCTGTGACATTTCAAGATCTCTTTGTGGATCAGGGAAAGAACCCCTAAAGACCCTGACCCTTAATTCACCAGGATACATAAGCTAAAGGCATTGTCTTCTCTCAGATGTACTCTTCCCATGGACATGGGATTCATACTCTGCCTTCATGCCACTAACGCTGTTAAAAGGACTTAGAATTAGTGGCATTATGGGGATATTTGGGACAAACAGAAAATGATTAGGGATAAAGCCTCTTTGTATATTTCAGTCACATCTCCTCTTGCTCCATATATGAGCTCTCTCCATTAACTGCAGTTTCAGATGAAACATGTTCAGGTACCTGGCCCTATGGCCCACATCTCGCAGACTTAGAACCCTTCATGTAGCCTTGTGTTATCTACCACGATGTTGTTACTGCTGTGGACTTCTTCCCAAGCTTTAGACTGCACAGTGGCTGAGGCTGCTTTTCATTTCTGATCGGAAATTTCTCATTCACTCATCTTCAAGTGCCTCTATCTGGCAATCTTAGCTTTTTTTGAGGCTGGAAAAGCATCTTTTCTTGGTTCCCACTCTGTCCTTTTCCCATCTGCCTCCATTTAATTTCCCCGTTACCTCGGAGAAGGAACAACATGGTGGCACTATGGGGTGAACATTGGACGGCTGACTCTGTGGGAGAAAAATGAGGCTGTCTGCTCCTGGAGTGATTTTTGTCTGGAAAACCCTATGGAGCAGTTGTACTCTGTTCTTCAGGATCTCAAACAGGCAGAATTCACTTGACGGCAGTGTGTTCTTGTTTTGTTTTTTTTTTTGGTTACCTCTGAGGTGGAGCAGGTTATTGAAAGTTCTGCCACCCTTGGCAAACATCCAGTCTTTCGGTTTGAAGCAGTCCTAGCGGCACAGTGGTTAAAAGTGCTTGGCTGTAAACCAAGAGGTTAGCGTCTTCGAGCCCAGCAGTGTCTCTGTGGGAGAAAGATGTGGCAGCCAGCTCCTGGGAAGGGTAGTGGCCTATTTCAGAGCTGCTATTGTAACAACTGTGTTTATTTTGCATGAAAAATAAAAATAAAAAACCCACTTTGATGTCGTTTTTTACCTTTTCTTTTTACCTTTTGTATTCACAGTTGACCATGAACGATTTCAGTGTACATAGGATTATTGGACGAGGAGGATTCGGTGAGGTGTATGGTTGTAGGAAAGCAGACACTGGAAAAATGTAAGCTTCTTATGAGATACTTTCTTTTTTCCTGGGGACATTAAAATAATTCTAAATGTCCATCCTAAGATACTACTGTGTTGAAATATGGAAGCCTTTGATGTTGATCTTCAATGAATTTATGTACTTTAGCAAGAAATCATTGATGTCATTAAGTACCATTGAGTTGGTTCTGACTTCATAACAACCCTGTATAGGGATTGTCAAGGATGATGATGAATTTGAATTGCTAATCTTCTGGTTAGCAGTCCAGTGCTTAGTAATACAGCTCTGCAATTGTTGTTAAGTGCCATCAAGTCGGTTCCAACTCATAGCCACACTGTATAGGGTTTTTGAGGAGCGTCTGGTTAGCTTGAACTGTCAACCCTGCAATTCAAACTGATCTTACAGACCAGTGCATTAACCCAAAGCCCTACAATAGGAGGGTGTGTTTTGTTAAGGAAGCCCCTGGTGGGAGTGGCAAGGTGGTTGACCCCTGGGCTTACTAACTGAAAGATTGACAATTCAAACCCATTCACAAGTACCTTGGAAGAAAGGCCTAACCATCTATTTCAAAACAACGGAAAAAAAGTTATTGAAAACCCTGTGGATCATAGTCCTACTCTGACACACATGAGTCACCCCACATTGGGATCAACTCAACAGCGACAGCTTTTGTGTGTGTGTTTTAAAGATACCTTTGTTCTCCATGGTAAATGAGAACAATATGCCAGAGCTTGCACATTTTCCGACTAAATGGTACGTTAAACAATAAACATATATTGAATGCCTGCTGCATGCTGGGCTATGGGCCAGGTGCCCAGGGATCCAGAGGTAAATCAGGAGCACTGCCTGACACCCAGGGGAATTCTACACCCAGGCTCTTGGGTAGTCCCACTACATATGGATCCTTTGCTTTGTGAAAGGGAGAGATTCTCTTCTAGTGAGTGTCCTGATGCTGCTCCGTATGTCAAATGCCAAGTAGTGTGTGCAGTTCTAGGGGCTGCATTCCAGGGGCTGTCGGCTCCACAGAGCAATGGGCTGGGTGCTGACAAGGAGGAAGCCACGCTGATGCTGATTATGAAGCTTGGTTATGCACACCAGTTACTTTTCTCCTGGAAGCTTGTCTCCTTGACCTCTGAGAAGGTGCTCTGGTAGCAGGTATCTGGGCTTGCCTACAATGAATGGAGTCATTTGTATGTATGTGAGCTGATTTGTGGTTTTTTTTAATGTTGTTGTTGAGTACCGTCAAGTCGGTTCTGAACCATATCGAGTTGTGTATAGGGTTTCCAAGGAGTGACTGGTGAGTTTGAACCATGAACCTTGTGGTTCAAAATGACCTTGTGATCTAGTGGTTATCCTAAAGTGCCAAATTATTAGAAGTTGTTTAAACGGAACACTGAAGGATACATGCATACATATGTATACACACACATGCATATAATATGTTTATTTACGTAAACATTTGTTTAATATTAGGCATATCGTGGTGATGCAAACAGCTCACTCCCTAGCCTGATGTTTGGTGGTTCAACTCCACTCTGAAGTGTGTTGGAAGCCGGCCCTGGAGACATGCTTCTGTAAGGTCACAGCCTTGATTAGAACGCTGTGGGATAGTTCTAAACTCTGCACACAGGCAGTTAGGTTCGCCATGAAACAGAATTGATTCTACCGCAACGATGACAACATAGTTAACATAGTTCAAGGAACCCTGGTAGTAGTACGATGCATATTGAGCTGCTAGTCACGAGGTCCACAGTTCAAATCTACCAGCCTCTCCACTGGAGAAAGATGAGACTTTCTGCTCCTGTAAAGATTTTGCAGCCTCAGAAGCCCTATACAGGGTCACTATGAGTCATAACCAACTTGACGACACACCACCACTACCCCCACCATTGTTCTATTTCATGTAGAGATTTTGCAACCATTTGTTGTTGTTAAGTGCCATCGAGTCAGTTCTGATCCATAGTGTTAAGCACATCAGTTACTTTTCTCCTGGAAGGTTGTCTCCTTGACCTCAGAGAAGGAGCTCTGGTGGCAGGTGTTTGGGCTTGCCTAAAATGAATGGGGTCATTTGTATATATGTGAGGTATTTTTTTTAAATGTTGTTATTGTGTACTGTCGAGTTAGTTCCGTGAACCCTGTATAGGGTTTCCGAGGAGCAGATGGTGAGGTTCCTTAATTCTCTACCTCCTGCCAACCTTGGTATTTTAGTTGTCATATAGGTTGTTTTTACATACACTGACAACCCCAAACAATGTCACAATTTTTTTTTTTAATTTGTTAAAACCTGTGAATGAAGTGCAGTTGTTGTTAGTGCTGTCGAGATGGTTTCCAAGGAGTGACTGGCTGGTTTGAACAACTGGTCTTGTGCTTAACTGTCCAGTGTTTATCCTATAGCGCCATACCAGAACTCTGTGAATGGAGTAGTTTGGATACATGTGAGGGTTTGTTTGTTTTTTAGCATTGTTGTTGTTAAGTGCCTTCAAGTTGATTCCCACCCATAGAGACCCTGTAGAGGGCTTTGGAGGAGCACATTAGAAGTGGTTTAAATGAAACAATGAAACATACACACACAAAAAGATGGAGAGAAAATGATCTGGTAGACCCAGAACCACAAATTTGATTTAGTGATAGGCATGCTATACAGACCTAGTGGTGGTACCGTGGAGTTGGCCCCAACTCATAGCAACCCTGTATAGAGTTTCCGAGGCTGTAAATCTTTACGGGAGTAGAAAACCTCATCTTTCTTCTGCAGAACCGCTGGTAGTTTCGAACTGCTGACCATGAGATTAGCAGCCCATTCGTAAGCACTACGTTACCAGAGCTCCTCATAGCCCTAATAGCGCAATAGTTAAGTACTTGCTGCTAACTGAAACATTGGTTGTTCAGACCCACCCAGTGGCTCCACAGAAGGAAGGTTGGGAGGTTTCTTCTATACAGATGACAGCTTCGAAAACCCTATCTATTGGGCAGCTCTACTGTGTCACTTGGGGTTTTCATGGGCTGAAGTTGGCTTGACAGCCCCTAACAACAACAACAATGTTAGCACAATGGACAAGTTGGGATGGTATGAGAAAGTTGGCTTCTCATTCATTCGAGGTCTTACCCTCTGTGCTGGCCTTTCCTGTCTTTGGGGATCTTGTACTCTGCCAGTCTATTCCAGTTTTCAGCAGATCCACTCACTGACATTGTAGGATCAACACTGGACTGCTAACCGCAAGGTCGGCAGTTCAAACCCACCAGTCCCCTCTCGGAAACACAATCCAGAGTCGCTATGTGTTGGAACTGACTCAACAGCACTGAGCGATAACAACAGCTCGCTGGCACAGGCTCTGTGGGTTGGGGCTTGAGCTTACCCAGTCCTCAGAAAGTGCAGACGGCTGCTAACTGAAAGTCTGGCAGTTCTACTCCACCCAGAGGCACCTCAGAACACAGGCCTGGTGATCTGTTTCTGAAAGCCAGCTGTTGGAAACCCTGTAGAGACCAGTTCTACTCCAACACACTTGGGGTCACCTTGAATTGGCGTCAACTTGACTTTTAACTTGATTTTAAACATTCCAGTGCTTTCCATATGTCCCCTTTTGCTGACTGATTCTTCTTCCTGGAATATGTCCTTACCCTCTCTCCAGCTTCCTTCTATTAACAGTGTCCCCAGACTTCAAGCCTCATCCTTCCGGTCGCCTTCTCCGATTTGGCCCCCTTACTTAGTCTGCACTACACGTAACATAGACTATAGTGTTTTACTGACATGCCTAGCTCCCCTAATGCTCCTGAAAGTCCTCCTTGGTAGATGTTGAGTGTGCAGGGCATCTCTGCTCTTGAGACTTTGAGCCACAACAAACCCTGTGGAGTACATTTCTGCTGTGACACACATAGGGTCACCACGAGTTGGAATTGGTTCCGTGGAAACTCATTGGGTGTTGTTTGGAATTTATGCCCATTGGTCTTTTCTCTGTTTTGAGGTCCTGGATGGGGTAAATACCCAAGGCCTGGCTCTCTGGGGATTCGTGGTCTGGGATCAGATGGAGACATTGTAGTTAGTGATCCAGAACATAGCTCCTGGTGCCATTCCAGTTAGACCACATCTCAGCTTCACCTCTGTCTGGTTTAGTCAAAACCTGTGACCTCTCTGTGCCTGTGTTTCTTAAGCTATAAAACATGCGTAATCAAAGTACCTTCCTTGTTTGGGGAATTAAATAAGAGAGGACATTGTAAGGCATTTAGAACATGACCTAGCCCTGCCCATCTCAAGTACTTTGCTTAAGCAAAGAGCCTTCTGCAAAGTGACCTCTTTGTCATGAAAAGATTCCTCCCCATCTGACCTCTCAGTACCTGCACAGTGGACTTCTTGAACCTCAACACTATAGTTGTAGCATGGTGTGGGTTTTTTCCTTTTTTGCTTCATCTTTTCAACCTGTGGTGGTATTTAGAATATTCAATGTGTCACATGATTCTGTGGTTGTAAATATACTTCCATTTTGCTCTTTGTACACTTTTATCATTTCACTGAGCCCTCAAAAACCAGCCTGGGTGTGGTAAATACTACTCTCTCTCTGTTTTATAGATAAAGGTTAGACACTTACCCAAAGCCACACAGCTAAGCCTGTATGCCTGTGAACCCCAGCTTACTTTCTTTCCCTTTCCCAGGTTGCCAGTTGTACATGTGTTGACTCTCTAAGTCACTTACACCCTGAGAAGCCTGCTCAAGGGGATTTTTTGCTGCCTTCCACACAGAACCAAACTTGGCCCAAAGCCTGTATATATTATCTTTTCTGATCTGCAATTTAAAGTTTTCTTTAAATTTTATCTTGGCAGAGGGTGGTGATTGAAGGTAAAGTGAAGTATTTTGAAAATTCTCTATTGCAAAAGGAAAATACTGACAGGACACACCCATACCTGTGTTCTCAACATTGAATACCATAAATCCAGGCCAATCAGTGTCTTGCTAACTGATTGGATTTTAAGAAATGGAAACATGAATACAAAATTCAAATTGTTTTGATAGAACTGGAATTACAACCAATAGAAAAATGAATGAATTTCCTGTGTTCTGTGACACACATAGGGTCGAAACTGATTCCATGGCATTTTTTTTTTTTAACATTTTAAATAGTATTCATGTCTCTTCAACATACACATACACAGTAGTGCAAGCAGCAATCTTCAAAAATGTTATTTCACTGAATGTATTTTTATTTATGGTAAGGAGCCATGGTGGTGCTGTGGGTTAGGTGTTGGCAGCAGTTCGAACCTACCAGCCTCTCCGTGGGAGAAAGATGAGGCTGTCTGCTCTTGTAAAGATTTAGAGTCTCTAAAACCCTCTACAGGGTCGCTATGAGTCGGAACCAATTTGACGGCAATGGGTTTTGGTATCCACAGTAGTGCTCTATTCCCCTAGAATTTCTACTTAAGTCATGATAGAATTAGCTTAGTATGGCTTTATTTTTTTTCCCCTTAACATAGAAGAAATTAAAATATATTCTTCATGGCATTTTGCTTCTTTTCTACATTGTATAAAGATTTAGAAACCTTCCCCAGTATGGAAGTTTAAATCAGTCTAGATGTATTTACAAAGCAGATAGTCTAATATGATTTGTGTTTCTAGGTATGCAATGAAATGCTTAGATAAGAAGAGGATCAAGATGAAGCAAGGAGAGACGTTAGCCTTAAATGAAAGGATCATGCTGTCTCTTGTCAGTACAGGAGTAAGTATTCTATTCCAAGCGTTGCTCTTTGTTGTTTTACAGAGTGGGGCAATGTCTTTAACAGACTTTGTTTCTCCAGACCAGTTATGAAGCCAGCCAGTTCTCAGGTGGGTTAGAAGTATAGAAAAGACAAAAAAGTGCAGATTTTTAATATATATATAGAGGCTTCAAAAAAGCTTGTGGACAAACGGAATTAAAAGAGAATGGAATTTTTCCGTGTCCTCTTTGACTCCCCTTTGTAGTGCATCATTTCAGTAATATGTCTGTTTGATTGTAGAAGTTAGAAAAATATAGAAAACCTGAGAAAGCTGGAAACACTGTAAGGCTGTCCAAGAAGGAAAAAGCAATTATTTTCTTCTAAAGCACGAGACAGAAAAGTGCTGGACCCTGATATTTTCCACTAAAGCAAGTGATGAAAGTGGAAAACTTTGAGACCTGTCGCATTCCAGCTCTCCCAGATTTCACTGTATTGTCCCTCTGCCCCTGTGCCTACTTATTTGCCCTTAACATTATCCTTTGCTCTACTTTTGGCCCCTTGCAACGCCACTGGAATATGAGTTGACAGAGGTGGCAGAAAATAATCATAACAGAAAAAAAAAATCACTTGCATGTAGTTAAGAATCGGACACTATACTGAGACAGACCAAAGAAACTAAAGTAAGCACATAGGAACCTCTGCCTTTTAGAAGCCAATGGAAAGGGATGTCTGTCTGTCTGCAACCAGCCACATTGGAGGGCACCATCACCTTCTGTCCTCTGGCAGGCTCGTGTTGCTTTCTCACTGCCCTGCATCCTGTCAAGGAGCCCTGGTAGCACTGTAGGGTAAGCTCAGGATTGCTAACCACAAGGTCGGAGGTTCAAACCCACCAGCTGCTCCTCGGGAGCAAGATGAGGCTGTCTGCACCCATAAAGAATGACAGCTTCAGAAACCCTAGGGAGCAATTCTGTTCTGTCCTAGAGGGTTGCTGTGAGGCAGAACTGACTTGCGGCAATGAGTTTTGGGAACTAGGTTGTTTCCACAAGTGGGACATTTCAGTTGTACATCCAGTTGTTATTTTTAGCACAACACATCTAAAGTCAGTGTTTGCTCTGTGCCACCTCTGCTGCAAAGCAGTTTCACAGTCGAATGTCTTGTTCTGCGGACGGCATTACCCAAGATCAGAATCAAGACTTTTGTGTGGTTGGACGACTATAAAGACACATCTAGAAAAACCTGTCCTCTGAGAAATTTGTGCATTCATGTATTTATAGACTTGGCTGTATCTTACAGCCTTCTGGAGACAGATGGACAGGTGTGTGTAAGATGAGCAAGGAGTGACCTCGTTGTGTGACTAAGACCTGAACTTAGTGTTCAACACGTGATGAAGCAGGTTTCTGGACTTCCAGCCACTCTTCCTGTCTTATCATTTTACTGGCTCCATGGTTTTAGATTATTACCTATTTATGTTGGATTTGAGAGCCCTGGTAATCCAGTGGGCTAAACATGGGGCTGCTAGCCAAAAAGTCAATGATTTGAACCTGCCAGCCACTCTAGGGGAGAAAATTGCCAGTCAGCCCCTCAAAAGATTACAGCCTGGAGAGCCCTGTGGGGCAGTTCTGCACTGCTGTGTAGGGTCACTGTGAGTCAGAATCAATCGACAGTGATGGGTTTTAGGTTATGTTGTGTTACAGTTCATGGTCTTCTTGCATTCACTATCAGTCATTCTAGAAAGAGCCTTGGTGTTGCTAACTGAAAGGTCGGCTTCTCGGGAGAAAGATGAGGCAGTCTGCTTCCATAAAGATTTGCCATCTCCGAAACTCTATGGAGCATTTCTGTTCTGTCTTGTAGGATGGATATGAGTCAGAATTGGTTCTATGGCAGTGGGTGTTTTGGACTTGGAAGGGCTGTTTGCCATTCAAGCAATAATAATAGTAAAAGAGATCATTCAGCTAAACTATAACAAAGACCATGTAGCTTAAAGTCATTTCTAATCATGTGCCTCATTTCTAATCAAGTTTTATAAGATTAAGCATTTCTTATAAAACTTAGCCTGCATGGGTGACCAGATATGTAACTGATTGCAATGGAAAATGGGAAGCATTTTTCATTGTAGGAAGCATTATAAAAGGAGACGTGCTTCTAATTGCTACTGAAAATGCTTTACTCTTAAAAGGTTAGGTATGGATGTGTGCTCACTGCATACTTTAAATGGTTCTTAAAATGTTTTTGAGTTATCTCAGTGCCTTGGGTGTTTGTTCTCAAGAAAATCCATGAAAAAAATTGGGGGGAGGCATAGAGGAAGTAGAGCATCCATGCAACATTTTCACTTATTTTATTCAGGTGAGGAGGAGATGAGCAAATTGAAATGCAAGGGGCTTCATAAAGTTTGTAGAAAAAAAGGGATTAAAATAATGAAAAATTTCCATGACACTTTTGAAACTCTATTGCATGATTTCTTATTGGTCTAATCATAAGAGAATCAATTATTTGGGTCCTATAGGGCTCCTGGCGAGATGCTATAAGATAAGCACTAAACTGCACTGCTAATCACAAGGCTTCAATGCACCAGTCGCTCCTTGGAAACCCTACACAGGGTCACTATGAGTTGGAACTCATTCATCAGCAAAAACACTGGGCTACTGGGAGCATGGTGGCTCTATATGATAAGCACTGGTCTGTGAACCTCAAGGTCACTGGTTCGAGTCCACTAGTTGTTCTGCAGGAGAATATGAGGCAGTCTGCTCCTATAAAGATTTACATTCTCGGTAAACCCTATGGAATAGTTCTATTTGGTCTGACATGGTCACTATGAGTCAGAATCAACTCGATGACACTAACCAAAAATGATTAGACTTAAAAATAATTTATATTTTTAATTCAGATATTAAAACTATGTTTTAGAGAGGACTTCCGGCGCTTCCCTGACCGGGCAGTACAGAGCCTGCCTTATTCAAGAGCACAGGCCAGCCCAAATTGAGACACCCTTGAGTAGTTGTTTACCACCAATAACAAATCAGTCCTGCTGAGGCTGACTGGAAAGCCTTTTGAACTGCAAGGACTGTGGTTCGAGCCCACCAGCTGCCCCTTGGAAACCATATACTGGGTCACGATTAACTCCACAGCGTACCAACAAGGAAAAGAGCTCAGAAGGGGCTGAAAGAGAGTTAGGGCACTAAAGACTTACTTACATTAAGCCACGCTTTTTTCCTCTCTTTCTTCTGCCCCCCCCCTTTTTTGTGTGATTAGAGCCTGCCTTATTCAAGAGCACAGGCCAGCCCAAATTGAGACACCCTTGAGTAGTTGTTTACCACCAATAATAAAGCAGTCCTGCAGAGGCTGACTGCAAAGTCTTTTGAACTGCAAGGACTGTGGTTCAAGCCCACCAGCTGCTCCTTGGAAACCCTATACTGGGTTGCTGTGGGTCACGACCGACTCCACAGCATACCA